TTAGAGCTAAGCAACGACCCCCCAGTATCAGACCCTCCTGAAAGATTCTCCTTCCTCTCTTTTTGCCATTTTGCAGAGATGTCCAAATGATTTTTTCTTACAAAAGTGAAATCTGCTCATCTCTAATCCATGGTGAAAATGGGCAGACTGAAGAACTGAGATTTTTTTCAAAGGCTTTGTGTGGTACTGTGTGTCTGTACTTCTGTTTTATTCATCAATAAGGATCTGATTTAATTTGAGTATTGAACAAGGAAGTAAAGTAAGGTTTTAATTTGGGTCAATTTGCTTACCCACAGGACACGAGCTGCAGACTTTCCTGTGAACAGAGGGGCTCCTTGAATGGATCTCACCTGACAGATGATGCTGCACTTGGCAAGCTCAGGCAGGGGATAAGGAGCCCATTTAAGAGAGCAAGAGCACTCTTCAAAGCACTGCAGACACCTTCTCCCCCCTACCAAAAATGCCCAACCCACCAGAAACTTTACTACAGCAAATTCTTTCCAGCAGAGAGAAGAACAGAACACTGGCTTGCAAGCAGACCACAGTGTGCTGCTCAGAGTGGGTCAAAACATCTCCTCACTTGTACAAATCTGCCTCAGTCCTTCACTTCACCCTTTAAAACTCAGTCCTGTGAATTTCTGCAGACCAAGAGCAATCATTTTCTGCAAGCATCCTCCATCACACTGCTGCAGTGGAGCTGTACAGAAACTGGCATTTACTTCCCTGAAGGGGGGAAGCGCTAAGGGGAAAACCAGGAGAAGCCACAGTGAGTAATGTGTCAGAAAAATGCTCCTGCTGGTGACCAGTGGTGTTACCAGCACAAGGGAGACAAGTGCAAAAGGGAGAAGAAAGAGGGGAGGATTTGAGGAAGCAGGGGGAGGGAAATGAACAGGCCATATCTTCAGCTGGCACAGATCAGCTCTGCGGCACTGGCACTGCTCTCGGAGAGCTGAAGCCCATGGTGAGTGTTTATCTTCCAAAAATAGACAAGAAAAAGCCATGAAAAAAAAAGAAAAGGCATAGGGTGAGTATTCTACTACTGGAGACCAAATCAGACATGCAGAGACCTGGATTTTCCTCCTAGTCCTGCCATTAACCTGTCATCAAACCACCATCTGTTCCCCTTCGTTCCCCAAGGTTTTCTCTGTACAGAGCAGGGATCCTCTGTATGCAGCTTAGCAGAACCACCCCCAGCACACCACTGGCAGCTCCCAGTGCCCATGCATGCCAACACCAGTAAGATCATGATGGTGTTTTCTCCCATCACTCAGCACATGTCTGGCTCCCTCCAGCTCGATGTCCTCCAGTGAACTGCTCCTCCACGGGGCAGCACCTTCCCTCCTGTGTGTGCTGGGGGAACTGCAGGGCTCAGAGATGGAGCTGGCATCTCACCTCTCTAACCACAGCCAGACAGAACCCACAGAACAAACCCACCTCTCTCCACCTGTGAGGCTCCAAATCACTGAGGAGTCCTGGCCACAGGACCCTCCTGCTACTTGGGACATGCCGTGTACAGGCTGGGCCCAGCAATATTGTGCTTTGAAAGACAAAAGAGCAGAAATGATTCACTTACCCTGTGGTATGAGCTGCTCCTCAGCACCTCTGTGTCCTTTAGGCTCTAGTTAAAGAAGGTCGGGGGGGGAAAAAAAAAAAAGGGAAAAAGATATGAAAAATTAGGGCTCTGGCTGCCAACTGGCTCAGCCAGAGGTTATGTACTTTCTTAATCCTGACTGAAATGTATTCTGCTGATTAACAAGCTGATCAGAAAGGCCAGCAGTGCAGCTGTCTCAACAGCTCTGATGGCTTTTAAATGATGATCTATTCTCAGCCCTGTCACTTGCAGGAGAAATAATGACCCCAATAAACAGTAGCAAGTTTTCCTGGACATCAGCCTGGAGAGGTGTCAGCCAACCCAGAGCTGTAAGGTCATCCAGAAACACTCCCACCATTCCAAGCACCTAGCCCATATCAACCACCCTCGTGTTAGGCACCAAGGTTCTGCCCTTAGTCCAGCCTCTTGAGAAACCTGGTGGCATGCAAACTGGGACTGGGATTTGCTTTGGCTGAAAAGCCAGAAGCAGGGCAGTGTAGGTAGTATTTCCCAAAAAAACTCTGGGGAAGGGGATGGGAGAGACAGAGGCTGAGCTTTCTACAAACCCAAACCAGCCAGAACACCCAGGGTTGACTTCCACCTACTCTAATACCACACTTGTTGAAAGATCTTCTGAGGTCTGCAATCTCTGTAAGAGAACCTTGGGGCCAGCTCTGAGCAACAAGTCACAGCACAGTGTTGAAATCATGCAAAATGGGCAGTCCCCCACCATCCTAAAATAGCTGTGTGAAATCCCCTACATGTCGCCAAAACCCACAGTGTGTTTCTTTGGCTGGCTTTGAACTGGTGTGGGCAGGGAAGGAAGCCAAATGTGGCCCCAGACACATGAAGCATCTCCACAAGTCCTTAGCAAGGCAAGTATTTGAAGCCCACAGAGCTTGGGTATGGCCTTGAGCAAGCAATCACATGTCAATAAGTGACTTAACTGATTAGTTCTAATTGCTGAAAGACGCTGTCCTGACCTGGAGCACTCCAGTGCACGCCCCATCCCAGTGTCAATGCTTGAGCTGTTTTTCCACAACAAGTTAAATAAATAAAGGGCACAGCAACAAAAGGGTAACAGTGAGCAGGGACTACACCTGGTGGATCACAGTCTCAAGTGCTGCATCTACTCAGTTTCTG